TCCTGCTGCATTATTCCCAGTAAAATCACTGGGATTACATGCAAGAGTGAAGTAACTAGAACACTGCCTAAGAATCACAGAATTGTGCTTTAAAATTAACCCAGTCTTGCAAGATGCTTGATTTAATTTTAAACGCACATGATCATTCCTATGGACTTAAATACCTGCTAAAGCATCTTTTTGAATAACATTTTCTATGACTATTAAAGGTATAAAACTGATGGGATAGGCCTAAATCATGTCATTGTATTCTATTGATTTAAAAATTCCTTGTAGAAAAGAGGGTGGATAGCTTATGGGGGAGAAATTGCCTTAACTTACTTTGTCAGGAGAGGCGAAAGGGTGAGTTGAAGATTAAACCTCAGCAGCTGACGGAAGGCAAGATACTGTATTCAGTTGCCTGGCAAAAATCTTTATCAGTTTTTTAGAATACTACCTGCCTAACGGGGCACAGGGGTAAGTAAGCAAATGGGAGGACATGCATAATTTTTGGTAACATAGAAGAAGTGGAGCACACAGAGGTATACACAGGAGCAGAAAAAAAGGTAAGAGTAAGTGAGGAAGTTTTATCAAGCTTTAGTTTAAGAAACTTGATTTCTTTGCAAAATGAGGACAAGCCAGAACAGGCATTTTGATGTGGTTGGTCAGGAGAAGACTGTGCTCAAAGCTGTTGGCAAAGTAATTCTTGTTTGGGTTATTTTAAGCCATAATGTGGACTAACAATTCCTTTGTTGTGTAAATTGTTTTGTTAAATTGCTACAGGTGACTACAGAACCATCAGAAGAGCCTTTATTTACTGCTGATGAAATATATGGAATAGTTGGTGACCAGCTAAAAAGAAACTTCGATGTGAAAGAGGTATGAATATAAAAGCAAGATCCACATGCCCATACATGCATGCACTCAGTTTTCTTGCAGGAAAACATTCTTTGTATCGTCATCTACGGAAATCTGATTTGGGGTACTTCTTTTTTTTGTTTGTTTTCATTTTTGGTTTTGGTGGGTTGGTTTGTTTCTTTGTTTGTGTTTTGTTTTTTTTTTCCCCAGCAAATCCATTGCAATGGCAATGACATGTTGAAAATATAATGCTTTTTTTGGTTACACTTTTAAGAAGGATGAGCAAGAATGAAAGATTGTTAACATTCTGAAAAAGCTGCCAGAAAATAGGAAACTTTGCCTTGTCAATACATTCTATAGTCTTGCTGAGTGATATGATACCTTTCTTTTTCTGTTAATCCTGTGTAAGTAAAGACCAATTATTTAAAGATTTATGGAGTATAAGGAAGACAAACAATTTAGTGCTCCCCCAAAAACATATGGAGACTACTGGACACTACTGTAGGTGTAGTGTAATTATTTGCCTGAGTGCCTTCATCTGAGACCATATCTTTTCTCATATTTTGCATAGATTCCATATTCAGAGCCTTTTTCACTACCAACCAAGTAATTGTTTTAGGTAGTGTATTAGTATGTACCTTTCTTAAAATATTTCATCATAAATTACTAGGATTTGCTTTGCATTAAGGTAAAGAAAGGTAAACTCTTTTATTGAGTCTTATACTACACTCTCAACAGTTGTAATAGCTTGCTATCAGTGGATCTGTATTTATATGAAATGTCTCCTTGGCGTCTTAGAGGAACCTCAGAACAGATAATCATTATTTTTGTATGTCATAAATTTAAGAAAAGCTGAAAATAAACATTTCTCTAAGAAAGTGGCTCATGGCTGTGTATTTTTTTTTTCTTTATAGATGTGTAATGATGAATGTTTATTATAAGCAGAGGTAGCAGTTTTCCTTTAAAATTTAACTAATATGGAAACTTTGTTTCTGTGTGATTTAAATTGTTCTCTTAGAATATTTTTAATTTTGAAATTCCAATTTTTATTAACATGCAGATAAATCACACTTTAAAAAGTAAATGGGCTTTGTCTGCCATACAGACTATTCATATGGTTGGCTGTTTGATGTTCTCTAAATGGAAAGCATTTATTTTAAGTTATATGTTAGCAAACAAATTAAAAACTATGAAGGATTTTGAATTTAATTTTATTTTTCTACTTTTTCTTAAGGTCATTGCTAGAATTGTAGACGGAAGTAAATTTGATGAATTCAAAGCCTTGTATGGGGATACTTTAATTACAGGTATTTAGACGTATATTATAATAATTCTGTATATGTTCCCACTGGTTTTAGAGTTGGATTCATTCTGTTTGGCTCACCCATTGATATTCTTAATAACATTTTTCTTTTCTTCAGAAGAGTAGTACCTTCTGTTACCAAGAGAAAGTGTTCTCTTTATACACTATGTAAAATAAATATATTTGAAAACTTACAAATTTATCTTTCTCCTTCAGGATTTGCAAGAATATTTGGTTATCCAGTAGGAATTATTGGAAACAATGGAGTTCTTTTCTCAGAGTCAGCAAAAAAGGTAAATAAACAGATTATTAGCTTCTTTGCCACTGAAAAACAAGACTTCAGTGTACAACTTGCTGTTGAAATGAGGAACTCCGTAAAATATGAAAGCGGACTGGCTCCATGTCTTTCATGTAAACATGAAATGGACTGTAAAAATAATTGACTGTATTTTAGAAATGGTGTTCTGTAGATTTTTCTGGTATGAAGCCAATAGGAAAGGTCAAAGATCAATAGGAAAATATAGTTAGAAAAACAGCATTTGAATTTGTGTGACAACACCACACATGAAATGGTAATCCTGAAATTTGTAGCCGTTACAAGAGAAGTCCATGGTGATTGCATAAATTACCCTACTAGTTATAATTCCTGACCTGTAAACTGTGAAATACTGTTATTTATTACTGGAGAATTTCAAACTTGGATTCCAGTACTCAGTTCATTGGTTACCAGAGGTTTAATTTTTATACTTTGCTGCAGCACCTCGTGGCTTAGACTGAAAACGTGCAGTGTTACCAAATCTGTGAACTAAAATACCCGTTTTGTTAATTAAAGGGCATTTTTGATGGAATATTGTACAGTTAACAGTGCTTTACAGGTTGGGTTTGGGGGTTGGTCGTGATAAAGAGTTTCTGGGTATAGCAGAAAGCAGAACTTACCTTTCTGTGTTCTATGTTGTTTGGTTTAGGTTTTGTTTTTTTTTTTCCCCTCCCCAAGAAATGACTGTCAGTTGTATTTTTTGTAATAGCAATTATATATGGTAGTTTTGTTCTAGCAAGCTCCTCAAACTAAGGGTGAGGAAATCGGTATTGAAAATCTAAAGGAAAAAGGAAGCCGCGAGAGAGATTTGGAGAAATAAAGTAATTTTACGTGATTTATTGATGTAATAAAATCATACATGAAATTGAGGGGTTTTTTTCTCACTGGTTGTCTTCACTTCTATGACACAGTCCTACAGAACTCAGTGTCAAATGCCACACTGTGAAGCTGCTTGTGGTTTAACGGTGTATTAGCTGAGTCAAAATAGTTGAGCTTTTCAGTATCAGCAGTAATGCTTTTTAAGGATATTATTTCTGCTTCACCCTTGAACTCGCACATTTTTGGCATGTTCTTCTAGAGTGAATGTATGTTTTGCAGTTGACTTTGTATGACGCAGTACCTGATGATGTCAGTACTCTTGTAGACTTCAGTGGAAGGAGACTTGTCACAATCTTCAGAGTACTTGTAGAAATAGCTTCACTTATCCAACTTTACTCTTTTTTGATTTTTTGGTTTGGTTTTTTTTCCTTTCTTTTCTCTCCACAGGGTACACATTTTATCCAGTTGTGTTGCCAGAGAAATATTCCCATTGTGTTTTTGCAGAATATTACAGGTGAGTAAGCTCAGTATTTTGAAGTTTCACTGTGTTGTAGGCTTTGCAGTTAACTGTTGAGGCTATAACTTTTATAAAGCATCTTGTGTGCTTTGTTGCATCTGCATCTCCAGCCTGTTCTGGAATCAGCCTGTCAGCAGCTGTTGAAGGCCTTGCATTACTATTTGTTCTTAATTTTTTCTGCGTGTGCTATAAAGCACACAATATGACATATAGTAAGTATATTGTATTAATATAAAGTTACCAAGCCTTTCTTTCATGTTGTAATTCTTTAGGTTTTATGGTTGGCAGAGAATATGAAGCTGAAGGGATAGCAAAAGATGGTGCCAAAATGGTAACTGCTGTAGCTTGTGCCAGTGTACCTAAAATAACAATAATTATTGGTGGTTCTTATGGAGCTGGAAACTATGGTATGTGTGGAAGAGCATATAGGTAAGTGTTACTTCCAATTATGACAGGAGATAAGACTAAGTTAAGAGAACATATCCTGGAAGTACCGTTCTGGTACTTGCAGAAGTCATGCTATATGGAAAGCAAAACAATTTTCATGAATATGGTCATAAGTAACAAACAAACTGACTAACCTGTAGAGATTTATAGGCTCATAACTAACCTTGAATTAGATGATGCAGGAGATCTTCTAACGTGTAAATGTGTTTACATGCTTTTTGCGCATTTTCTCTAGGAGGAAAAATTGTATAATCCTGAACAGTCACTAGGTAGTTTGGCCTGGTCCTTTATTCTGTATTCATGTGAAAAGTACCCACTTGTGTAAAAAATCCTTATTCACTTCAGTGGGCCTGTTTTTATGAGGCATGTTTGCAGAATCTGTAAGGATTTTTTATCTTTTTTGTTTTTTTTTTTTTTTGACCCTTTGGACAAGACTCGCATAAATATTCTTTTAATTTTTCAAGGTCCATGTTACTATTGAAGTCATTGCTGATACTTTTAAAGAGAAAAATTCTGGAATGGTACTGGGGTGGTGGTAGTGTTAGATGAGGAGTCTCAAGGAAGAAAGAAATTTTTAAGGTGCTTGGATATAGGAAATAACCAGAACTTACATATTTTGAACCCTAAGGCTGCAAGGATTGAAGTATGTTTATTTGCATTGTTTAAAAGCCAATACACTGTACGATTGTCATGCATAAAAATGAATTCTTGGCTGAGTGAGAATTATTTCTCTACTGTAAAATAAGACGATGTCTTATTTTGGTATTTAATATGTATTTTTTCAGTCCAAGATTTCTGTATGTGTGGCCAAATGCTCGCATATCAGTGATGGGAGGGGAACAAGCTGCAACTGTTCTAGCTACAATAGCTAAGGACCAAAAAGCAAGGGAGGGAAAACAGGTACATCTTTCTTTTTCATTTGCAGTAATGTCATTTACTCTTTCACTGGAGTTGCTCACTTCGTGAGCTAGGAAAGGATGTGACGGAATGAGATGCCAATGAACTATCATTCTCCCAATGCTACCTAGTGCATGAACAAACGTGAAACATTTGTGAAATGTTATTGTTTACATCTCGTAAATATGAAGATCATTCTTTATGTATCTTGTCTTTGCTTAAAAAGAGGAATATTTGTCATATCATCAACTTTCATACTTCGTGCACCAGATTACTAGCTCTGATGAGCAGCCAGGGATCCTCCCTGGTTTGGGTGAATGCAGAGGAGTATGTGAGAGTGAAGTGTCTTTCCATTTACTTTTGAATTAGGCAGTTTTACAGAAAGCACAACTTGAAATTATTCAGTGACTGACAATCATGAAACTTACAGCAGGAGAAGCCTGTAGAGGGTTGGGAAAGGTTTTGACTCATTTCAACATATTAACTGAAAATTACTGTATTTTGTTTAATAATCTTTTCTAGTTTCTCTGTACACTTTTTTCTGCTGTGTTTTTTAAATTACATAGTTTATGTTTATGCTGTTGCCTTGATCCCATAGGTGATTTTATTGTGATGTCTTAAACTTGCTTGTATTTTACCTATTCAGAATAAGGAAGTGGTATTTACTTGTTATCTCAGCATCTTTTTTTCTACATATTACTTGAGCTTTCCATAGATAGAATATATTCATCTTCATCTCTCTCTGTCCTAATTTCATGAATCCCTAAGATGGACAGAATGAAACACAGAAAGAAAGATGTTTGAGAAAAATAATTGTTGTGAATGTCAGTAGTTTTAGAAACTTGAAAATTCTCTGAAGTACAGTGGGGACCACTCTGGATCATAGAGAAACCCAGTGTTAGAATATCGTAAACTTTGTTTTATTCAAAGATCTTGACAAAGGCAACTCAGAACAGGGTTTATTGAATGCAGTAATTTTTTCGGGAATTTTTCAGATGCTAATCCCCTATTATTCTTGTATAAGTATATTTTTGCACTCCTTTTCCTACCAACACGTTTTGAAAAGTGCTGTTTTAATTTCGTTGTCAAATACACAACACTGATAACATTGTGTAAAAAGGGGGATAAACTTGGGGGAGACGATTTGGGCAGTTTCTTGGAGTTTGATGCTGCATACAAAGTTCTGCTGTCATTGTGGAAGAAAATATTAAAGAATATCTGTGTTTGTTTATTTGCCTGGTTTTTAGTTATCTGAGGCAGAAGAAGCAGCTCTGAAGGAGCCAATCATTAGGAGGTTTGAGGAGGAAGGAAACCCTTATTATTCCAGTGCAAGGTAACATATAAATGACTTTTCCAAATCTTAATTGTAATCACATGACATAACAATGACATCTAAATCTTGGTGTTGAAGAACAGAAGAAGAGAGCAATCTGGAACAAAGATTGTGTTTGATTTACAGGAGTACAGCAGAACAAGCTTCAGATTAATGTTTGGTCTGTCTTAGACTCTGTAGTCTCTCTTTCTGTACTGTTTCAAAAGAAGGCATGCACTTGGAATTATTCTGCTGGTTCTGTAAGTAGTGATATGGTAGCATGGAGTTTATATTCTAAATACTTTATCCTGGATAAATTGTATCATTCTTCCTAAAGTAGTATCTGGTCGCCATTCAAAAGCCCATTGAACAGTGTAATAAGTGGCTGCATGTGCGTTAGGAAGAATTCATTTTAGTGGGATTCTGTAAGTAGAAGAGGCCAGTGGTTAAGCAGAAGTTCCAGGAAGACCTGAAACCATTTGCAGATCTCAGGTCATGATCTTTGTAGGTGACTTTACTGCATGATAGCAATTTGGATAGGGCGTTAGCTGAACACGTGCAGCATATTTATGTTTGTTGGGAAGTCGTTTGCAGCATTTTGTGCTCAGGTTAATGGAATATTAGTAAAAACCCAGGAACTAGTGAGGTTAATGAAGCAACATGGCATCCTGGCATCCTCTGGAAACTGGCTTGAAGGCTTTCTGGGCCTCTGACTGGTACTCTACGTTAGTTTCATCCTGTCTGTACTGATCTTCTCTGCTCATGGTATCCAAAAGCCAATTCTGCACAGGCTCTGAGCTGCTGCTGATGTTAGAGGGTAGCATGTAATAATGTGGCTTTACTGTGCCTCTGTGGCTTCTCATTTTGCAGAAAGAATATTACTCTTATACAACTGTCAGTCTGTCTGGTTTTGTGTAGCTGAATTAAAGTCACTTATGGTTTTTTTACCTGCAGGCGGGAAAGCCTGGAAACAAACTAAGTACAGAGTGGTTGGGATTTGATAAATTTTGATGTGGGCATCATGGGCAGGAATGACGTGACCAGATGGGTGCAAGATACACTGCCAGCATCATAAAAATGCCAATAAGAGAAGGGAGTTTAGGCACCTTTTTGTGTAACCTGGTAACCTGCTTAATCTTGTGTATGACAAATTTGATACAGCAGCAGCATAGCATCAGTGAGCTCCTTTATGAATTGTTTATCATGATCTAAAGAAAGATATAGAATTATTGGTAGCTTTTAAGCTGGTTTCTTTTGGACTAGTGTAATTAACTAATTAATTGTACCTGGGGGATCTGTATTCATTTTAATGTTTAGTCACGTTAGTGTCTTCATCAAATGGAAGCTCTTGCTACTTTGCCCTATCTGAGTAGCGTATGTAGCACAGGGTTTATGGTTTCATCTAGGCAGATTTCAGTGGTGCTGTTGTGTAGCATGTGGTCATGGATTTAGGGCAGGTTTTAGTCTCATCAGTGTTTGGTCTCTGCTTCTGCCTGTGTGGTAGTGTTGAGAGTCGCAGATACTCTCGACTTCTTGAGGTTTTATGCATGTGTACAACCCCCACTGCTACTAAGTTACTAAGTATTGGGGTTTTTACATGTGATAAGTAAGGAAACTTTTGTGAAATTGTGAATTTTTATTGACATGGAGTTTCTGGTAGAACACTGGTTTAGACTTTTTTATTTTTATTTTAAATCTTTTTAATTGATTTAAATTTCATAGGGGTTTCCCCAAACTGAAAGATGGTTTCAGCTGTTAAAAACTTACGTGCTATCTCTTATTAGCCCTTAAAAATAAAGCCTAGTACCTGTGTCACAAAGCCTTGTGCCCTGAGGCAAGCAGGAAAAGTGAAAATACATATTGTCATCTTTTGTGACTGGATTTTAAGGAGAAGAATTTTCCACTGATATAATAACATTTGAAAAATAAGTCAAACTTTCTGTTTTTGAAATTAATCCCTAGCATGGAGGAGAAGATGAGATAATCTGAATGGTTTGATTTATTTCTTTTTTTACATTTGCTTTTTTTAATATGTTCACTGGAAACACAGTCATAGTCTCTTTGTACTCATAAATGAAAATAATTGGATATATTTATCATACAATTTATTCAGAACATCAGTGATATAAAAACTTGGCATCTCCCTGAAACCAACAGACCATTGTCAGTATTTACTACAGTAAGTTACTAATCTGCAGAAAAGAAGTTTTACATGTAAGATTAAGGTTCAAATAAAATAAAAGTCATATTCTATATTTTTAATAATGTCCAGTGATTTTTAGACAAGAAACTTGAGTATTTAACACCAGCTTTGTAGTCTCTGCTGAGCGATTTCTGCCAGTTTATGTTTCCACAATATCTGGCCATTTTGTGAATATAGGTTGCAAGTCTAGATGGCATCTCAGGAAATAGCCGAAGGTTGCCTAGCTTATGGGTTAGGAAATGCTAATTAATACTAGACAACCTGTCCTTCATTTAAAAAAGCGGGGTAATTATGTACTTCTTACTGTGCCTGTAGCTTGGAAAGGAAACTTAATGTGCACAGATGTGAGCTAGCTGAGAACTAGCGTGGGTCTGGGTTGCATATGGTTGGGTTCATGTGATGCTGTTCTCAAGCTAATAAGCCCAACTGAGACATGAAGTCAAATGCCAGAGCTGTTGAAGTTCATCTGGCTAAAAGCATGGAAAGAGAAATGCCCCTTTTCACTGAAGAGTGCTTGTGACAAAGCTGGCTCAGGTCAAGGCACTCCAGGCTGTTTTTTGTCTCTTCAATCCGTGTAGGTGCAGTCTGCATTGTCTAGGAGCTTAATTGCTCTCTGCTATCTACTAGAGATAATTAGGTATATGATTAGATATTGTTATGTTTTCTGCCCTGATTTCATGCCTTTCTGCCAATATTATGACGTGTGTGGCTTGTTCCTTCATTTATTGCTAATTCCTAAGCAAGAGCTCAGACTGATGGCTCAAAAGTTTTCATTACTGTGGAGTAGGCTGCCCAAGCAGGGACAATGAAATGAAGTAGGATTTGCCTTTGCAGCAAGAAATGTACATGAAGGAGGGATTTAGCCACCTGGCACCTTGGAGCCAAACCGTTTGTCAGCCAACATCAGCTGCGTATTGGCAAGTATTTGCCGTAGGTCAGGGAGACGAAGTAACCTGTCCACTTTCCTCTAAAGGATGTTTCCTGTCTGGCTCCACGCATGGTAAAAGGAAACAGTTGACCGTTGACCAAATGTCCAGGTGCTGTATTGAAACTGAATCTGGATAGCCTTGGTTTTGTCAGAGCTAATTGGATCCCTCCAACAAGAACACTCCAACAAAGAGCTTTGCGTTACTGAGAGGGTGAATGATAGTTGGGCAGAAGGACTGCTGTTTGTATTGCCGCTCGGATGCAGCTGATTTGGAGGCTCCCTCATACTGTCCTCACTCCAAAGATAAGGGACTAATCTGCCTCACCTTCACATCCACTGAGAATGATGTGACTCTTCCAGTTGTCTTCATTAGGCTTTTCATCAAAATTTTGGCGATAGTAATGAGAGGGAGGCAAAATGCCCTAGTGATCTTTAAAATACAAGCAAATTTCCCTGTTTACTCTGCTTCTAAGATTTTGCTTATAAGTTATAACTTGTTATATGTACAGGATGTCAATCGTGTTCCCTGCAGTTGTGTTTTCTAATCAAACTTCAATCAATTATTTGATTAGAACCTTTCACAGTGAGCAGTCTTAATTAACGGGAGACCTTAGGCAGCACCCTTTTTAATGAGTTACATTAATCTGCTTACAGGTTTCTAAAAGGATTTCAGTGCAATGTTAAGTTTGCATCTTAACAAGTTACATGAGCATTTCACTTCTGGGAACTTTATTTCTTTTACTCGCAGTGTCTCAGTTGCACATATTTTATGAGTGTAGTTGTGACTCTTGTTCTAGCAATGGGTTTTAATAGATAGTTTAATGATTAATGTTACATCCCAGGAGAGAATGTAGTTTCCTTTAAACAAAGAGAAGCAGAAGCCAGGGGTGACCATATGAAAGCAGCTTGACTTTTGTGCAACATGAAATCTTTGTGGTTGTCAATACAAGTTAATTGTGTTGTTGCAAAAACAACTCTGCCATTAAAATGTGCTTCATGTTTGGAAGTGTTTATTACAGTGGTAGTCACTACGAAGCTGCAGGTTGGAAGGTACTGCATTAAGTTGGTGTATCTTTTTTATTCAATTCATCCCTGCCATCCCCAGGCCCTTAGCAGGCTTATTAACACAATGTCTGTTCCTTCATGCAGTTTTAATGTGTTTCATAAATAAAAAAGTTAATTACAGGTATTCAATAAAAAAGTTGATATGCAAACCAGACAAACCTGTAATAGTCAAAAAAACCCAATTTGCTTAAAAATAGAAATTATTATACTTGAGATTTTTCTTGAGTTGTTTTTTTCAGTCCTAAGAAAACAAAGGAATTGTAGTTGGTTTGACCTTACCAGACTACTTTGCTTTTCACTATTGACAGGGATCCTCTCCGTCCCTTTGGCAGATTAATCTGACAATATTCATAGAATCATAGAATCACAGAACAGTTTGGGTAGGAAATGACCTTAAGATCCAGTGCCAACCCCCTGCCATGGGCAGGGACACCTCACACTAGACCATATTGCCCAAGGCTCTGTCCAAGCTGGCCTTGAACACTGCCAGGGATGGAGCATTCACGACTTCTTTGGTCAACCTATTCCAGTGCCTCACCACCCTCACAGTAAAGAACTTCTTTCTTTTATCTAGCCTAAACTTCTCCTGTTCTAGTTTAAACTCATTCCCCCTTGTCCTATTGCTAAAGTCCCTGATGAAGAGTCCCTCCCCAGCATCCTTATAGGCCCCCTTCAGATACTGGAAGGCTGCTATGAGGTCTCACACAGCTTCTCTTCTCCAGGCTGAACAGCCCCAACTTTCTCAGCCTGTCTTTGTATAAGAGGTGCTCCAGCTCCCTTACCATACTTGTGGCCCTCCTCTGGACTTGCTCCAACAGCACCATGTCCTTCTTATGTTGAGGATATTCCTCAAAACTAAATCAAGATTAAAATAGAAGAAGAAGGAGAAAAAAACCCATGTATTGAACATGATGATGTTGAAAGTATAGTAGAAATACTCTTATCTTGGCTACTATGTCATGCTAAATTATATGAATAGGCATAACCACTATCTTGGGGAAAATATGAGAATTTAAACAGCTCTTAAGTCTTAGTAAAATCAATTTATACACGGCCCTTTGGTTATTTTGAACAAGAGCGTCTAACTGGTTTTGCTGTACGGTAAGAAGCACTTACTCGAAGTCTCTTTTCAGTGGAGTACTGTTGAAATATACCAAAATATTTTAAGGAGTTATTACTTACAATTTAAAGCTATCTATCATTAGGAATAGTTATTCATGGGAACCAGACTGCAAGATCTTATACAATGCGCTTACCCAGAATATGATACAGACAATTCTTGTGTATCTTCTGCAACAAAATTTGCTGATAGTACAACTTCTGTGCAGACACTAGTGTGGCTGTTAGAATATTCCAGTGCACAGCTTACTAGCCCACTAGAAAGGAAATAACTGAGAATCCTAAAATGAGAACAGATCAGACAGAGCTATTTTCCTTATATTTGTAATTTGGGTTTATAACATTTCATTTCCCTTGAAAGAAGTTGTTTGGGTTTTTTTTTTTAACCAGACTTTTTTCTTTCTATGCTGGATGGGACCTGTCAGGTCAGTTATTGTCACAGCTATTGTGGTATAAAATTTCTTCCGTCATAAAGCATAGTTTTGACCAGTTAACGGTGAAGTCTTCCAAATCCCTTTCTTCTTTTGTACTTGAGCTTTGCTCTTGTGCTCTATTTAGGGTAACAAGTCTTCTCTACCCTGGGAGCTACACTATGATTAGATATACTAGAATGTGCTTTCTCAGTTGGGTAAGCTTTACTCTCTGCTAGTTGGAGAACAGGCTCCTAGTCATGCCTCATCTTGTTGCAGGTGTCTTTTATTGCAATTCTATGTTGTGCATCTTAGGATAGATACATGTATTTGTTGTAAAATAAAAAGCATACATTGTCAGTCTCTTTAACATTTTTATCTGATTTGATTAATAATAACTTTCACAGCAAATGGTGAAACAAAGCAAAGATGGACTGTCTGCTGCTGCCTTGCATTTATTGTAAGAGCAGTGTATTTATGTACAGCTTGAAGTCCTTCTGGGGATGAGATTGGCACATTTAGTATTGAGAGGAGAATGCAAAATACGTAATTTCCTGTCTAATGGATTTTTTCAGTTAATCTTCAAACAGTAGTCAATTTGCAGCTGGAAATTCGCAGCTGGAAACTTCAGTGAGAAAGAATGGCTGTGCTTTCTCTTGGTGGAGTCAGCCTTAGCTCCTTATTCATGACCCTTTCTTGTATTTTTAAATTTTCCACAGACAAACATTAGCCAACACTGAAGTAAGTTCAAAAAAGAATGCAAATGGGGTAGAAGAGGAGCATCGCTGCCTTAACCAAAGATACTGTGCATGTTTTGCAGACCGTAATTACAATGCATGCTTATTTCAGTGAGACTGGGCTGCAGTGAGCAGTGTGGTATCTTGTTTAAGTGTTGTGCTCAGGAGGTAGTAGTTATACAATATTTACAGTTTTGTGGCCTGCTGGGAGTTCTGACATGGATTTTATTTTGGGTAGTTTAGAGCTGTCACTGAGAACTGATGCCACAAGTACTTGAATTTTTAGATAATATCAAAGAGACTGTATACAAGTGTGTTTGATTTTGGGGACTTGGGAGTTTGGTAATTACCGGTTCATAATTTAATTGCTTTCAGGACTGGGTTAAGGAGGGTAGTTGTTTAGAAGTGGACTTCAGAAAAAGCAAATACCACAAGTAGTGGAAATACTTAGAATATAGTCTGGTCTTTTAATGATGAAAGAATAAATGTGTATCACCCTCATCTGCCAGCTGAACTAAGTTGAGTAATGTAAAAAATGACGTAATATAGTCCTTAAAATACTAGCATTCTTACTAGAAGAAGATAAGTAATTGATAAAAGGTCATTTTCCATGCAAATATTAAAAACCAAAGAGGGTCTCTTTAAGGTGATGACTTCATACTAAAAGGAAGTATGAATAATCTCATTTAAAATATGTAGACATGATGTTTTTCTTTTGTCCAGAATTTTTTCTGGAAGACAAATTCCACAGAGTAACACATACCAGTCCATTGCATTGATGGTTAAGGTTAATTAACTCCATGGCTTCAAGTATAATTTAGTTCTTTAGTCCACTCTATTTAGTATAGCCATTTCCAGCTTCATGTGCTTGAAAACCTACGTGCTGTGTATGTTAATATCCTTTAATAATTATTGCTTGATTTATTTGTTTATTTCTAGATTATGGGATGATGGGATTATTGATCCAGCTGACACAAGACTAGTTTTGGGCCTTAGCCTCAGTGCAGCATTAAATGCACCTACGAAGAAGACAGAATTTGGGGTTTTCAGGATGTGAACTTCAATGTACGCTCATCAGAATTACCTATGCATATTCTAATTGGGACTGGAGGGCAAACGAACCACAATGTTGGCGTGATTTGAAAATAAAGATTTATACAATGCTGGTTTTAGTGAAAATATTTTAATTACTTATTGACACTGAGTAATCATCACACAGTGCTTCAGTGTTTTGATAGTAATTTGAGATCGGTCACAGTGCTTGTATAACTGCGCTGCATGAATAAGCTGCAACTTGTAGCATTATGTTTAATGTTTGACAAGAAACCACTGATGCTATCTCTTATATAAATAAATCTGCAAAATAAGCTACACATTTGGTGCTTATCAGCTCCTTTATTTCTTCTTCTTCGTATGTCTCTTTTTATGTGCAGCTGTGTCACAAATGCAGAAGTGAAAATAATTCTTCAGAATGGGGATTTTCAGTGCAGAATACAGAAAGCCCAGCATAGAATCGTAGATTGGCTTGGACTCCTCAATATCCTTATAGGCCCCCTTCAGACGCTGGAAG